TTTACATGTGTATGTAAAGATTTATATATGTGTGTACATTACATGTATACTCCTTTAACTGAAGTAAGTATCAGGTGTAAATACAATTCATTAGCCTTTGTCGTTACAGCTATTTTGTTGTAAGTTATGAACCAAATTTAGGTAATATAGTAATGGAGGCAAAAATTTAAGCTACCACCGAATATATATTTGATTGCATAAATGTTTTAGTTACCGTGTAAGAGGTGTTAAAATTTAAGGTTTCTTTTCAAAGAGGCTAATAGGGAAATGGTTGATCTTTTGATGTGGAGGAAGAGTTCATGGCGACAGTAGTGGGAAAAGGTGTGAGTGAGAATGAGGAACTGAAGAGGAATGTCGAAGCGTTGTAATTCTGTCTCTGTCAGAAAGACCAGCTTCTCCGACAAAGATACAGTTCAAGTGTGTCAGATAACTCTCCGTCCTTTGCAGTGTTTCGTTCTCATCCACACCTTTTTCGACAGAGATTGGTGACAGTAGTTATTTGTAATTCATGACATTATTTAGGGATTCAGCCTCCAGGCAATCAGCACCACTTTCATTTACATTGCTGCTGTTTCACACACACATGTACACAGCCACACACACATGTACACAGCCACACACATGTACACAGCCACACACACACATGTACACAGCCACACACACATGTACACAGCCACACACACATGTACACAGCCACACACACACACACACAGCCACACACACACACACACACACAGCCACACACACACACACACACACACACACACACACACACACACCACACACACACACACACACACACAACCACACACACACACATGTATACATATATACATATATACATATATACATATAAATATATACATGTAAATTTACATGTATATATATGTATGTGTGTGTGTGTGTATATATATATAATATATATATATATATATATATATATATATATATTATATATATATGAATAAATATGTATATATATACATGTATTTTGTAATAGATATATGTATAAATGTATAGATATATTTATATGTATAATGTAATGAAGGTGTCTCATCATTTCAAGCTCTTTTGATTCTGAAAATCAAGGTTAAGGGGATGAATGCATTGTTTTGGTTAACAAGTAGTTTCGTATTAATGTCATAAACGCATTTTGTGCCGAAAAATGGATTTGCACAAGTTGGGACTTCGCCGAGGCACCACCTTGCAAGGGAGATTTCAATGCTAGATAATGTACTTGACATGTCTTTGCTTAATCCATTCATTCCTTCTTCCAGAGCCAAGTGCTGTTTGCCTTGTGGGAAAAGCAGGATGTGGAAGGGGATTGCTGTGTTGTGCGTTTGCCCTTTGATCATTTCCACGCTTTTTCATTGTGTTCTCAGTGGAAGGGGTGGACTTGGTCGGTGCTAAGTTTGGGGCCAATGTACGTGGCTGTCCTTGCAGTTCTGAGATGGAAACACTCATACATAGACACACATGCATACGCACACACATGCACACACACACACCACACACACACACACACACACACACACACACACACACACACACACACACACATATACACACACACATACACATACACATGCTCACACATGCACACACACGCTCACACATGCACACACATGCTCACACATGCTCACACATGCACATATGCTCACACAAGCACACACACGCTCACACAAGCACACACACGCTCACACAAGCACACACATGCTCACACAAGCACACACACGCTCACACAAGCACACACACGCTCACACATGTACACACACAAGTACACACATGCACACACAAGTGCACATGCACACACAAGTGCACATGCACACACAAGTGCACATGCACACACACATGTACACACAAGTGCACATGCACACACATGTACATGTACATGCACACACACACACACACACACACACACACACACACACACACACACACACACACACACACACACACCACACACACACATATACACACACACATGTACACACACACATGTACACGCACACACCAACACATGTACACACACACACACACACACACACACACACACACACACACACACACACAAAATACATGTACTCACACATATACATGTACACACACACGCATGTACACACACACACAGATGTACAGACACACACACACACATGTACACACATACACACACATGTACACACATACACATACATGCACACACACACAATACATGCACACACACAAATACATGTACTCACACACACACATGTACTCACACACACATGTACACACACACACACATGTACACACACATACACACATGTACTCACACACATACATGTACACACATACACATGTACACACATACACACACATGTACACACATATACATGTACACACATACACACATGTACACACATACACACACACATGTACACACACACACACACACACACACACATGTACACACACATACACACACATATACACACACACACACACACACACAATGTACACACACACACATGTACACACACACACATGTACACACACACACACACACACACACACACATACATGCATACACATGCACACACATGCACACACAAGCCCGCACATACATGCTCACACACACATGCACACCCACTTACTCACTAATACACTCACTAACACATAAAAACACACACATACACATAAAAACACCCATACATGGATACACCACAACGGTCAGAAAATTGATCATATTGTCCATCATATAATTATCTGCAAGTATAGGTGACCTATATGTATGCATTGACTTGTGAATACCTGTGGTTCCTTATCAGTAATATTTCGTGGTGATATGGCATTTTGCTGAAAGGAGAAATCTCTGGCGTGCTGACATCTAACACGTGTGTTTATTCATTTGTTTATTATCTGTTTATGCATTTATCTTTTAACTTTTTCCCCCCTTGTCAAATTCTTCAGGCTTGTGGTTAATATACAACCTCACTCTACATATTCACAGCAGCTCCAATATTCTGGTGATGTATGTGTCTTTAAATGCTGATCATGCACTCGTTAAGAAAGAGAAATAAAACACAAAAACTGTGAACAGTGTAATCAGAGACAGAATAGTCAAAGGAATTCGTGCCCTTCCAGGTAGCATGCAGCAGCTGTTGATACTTGTACCGTAGACGTTGGAAGCATGGTATTTATGTGGCGTACTTAATATTTTTAGTCTGTAGTTGAGTTTGTGCTTGGATTTTGTGTTTTGTTGTGATGTATACTGCAAGTTTTTGATTGCCATAATGCCTATATTGCATCAATTTAGGTCTTCGGATTTACTTTTATGCTACCTCTTTATCTATAGGTATGATTTTTACTTTCTCGAGATAAATTTGTGGAGAGGAAGCAGGCATTGCATTTTTATCATCTATTATTTATGTTATTATTATTGTTATTGTTATTATTATTATTTATTATTATTATTATTATTATTGTTATCTTAAGATTAAAATTAATTTGTTAGACCTCTGTTATCCTTTATTAGTTGATTTTAATGTTATCTCAGGAGGTGCACGCACATGCGCACACACACACACACACACACACACACACACACACACACACACACACAACACACACACCACACACACACACACACACACACTGCACACACACTCTGCACACAATTTTGTAAAATCATACATATTTATAGATAGGCACAAAGAAAAGGCTTACTAGAGCATAGAAGACAAAGAGAGAGCTCAACTACACCTTTGATTAGAGGGAAGAATGCGTATTTAAATAAAATCATGGGTGGTTGGAGGGGCATGTTGTATATGAATGGAAAAGGAAAGAGAAGAATGGAAAGAAATAGCTTAAAGGATATAAGGGGGGGGGGGAAAGCAATGATTTTTAAATACATGTATATATATATGACCAAAGAAAAGATCAATAGCGTTTATTTTGAAGTTTGCAGATTATTTGTTTCTGGATCATGTGTGTAGAGTGAAAATTCTTTCCTTATGGTTTCGTAATGGGGGAAAAAAAGAAAAGAAAACTAATGACCGTAGGTATGCGAATTTTATTCTTTTAATGCTGTCAGAGGTAGACCACTCAAAGGGTGTGAACGTTAAAATCCATCAGCATTTTAATAAAGCGGGAATGTCGAGCTGTTTGTGATGGAAGTTTACAAGTACAAGTGCTGTCGTCTAAATAAATAGCAGCTACTCGTTTACATTTTCTTGGTGGATAGGAGGTAGCAGTGGTGTACTGTTAGGCTTTGATATTCAAGAAAATAGTGCGTGATACCAAGTTTTGTTAAAGCACAAAAAGTGCCTGTTTTTTATGTTTTGATTTTGACCCTTGACAAAATTTTAGGTTGAGAAACAGGGTGGTTTTTTATACCTGATATTTAATAAGAGTTGGCCATGTTATGTGTTTTTTTTTTTCCTTTAGTAATAAATTTATTATGTGTTTGTATTCTTTTTTACATATTATAATTTTTTTTTATACAGACTGGTATTAATTCATGAGTCTAGGAAAGATAATTTTCTTTCATATTTTTATTTTGTTTCTTTGTTTATGATTATTAGCCTTTTTTGTGCTACTTTTTATCATTATTGTTATTATATTTGCATGTATTTGTGTCGCCCACATAGAAGATTTGAAAGTAGAAGAAATATACACAGTCTAGTCGTAAGTTTTGATGTATTGTTAATTTTGTGTTGTAACGATTGCAAGAAGGTAAGAAGCGGCTTTCTTTTTATATATAATTCTTTTGGATTGAATGCTTGATTATGCTTTTGTGTTGTGCTTTAGATTTTTGAGTTGTATGTAGCATTACCACTTTTTTGTGTTCTTTTTCTTTTTTTTTCTTTATTTATTATTTTTTGTTGTTGCTTTAAGATTAGCTTTATTTAATTTTTAGTTGTTTTATTTGTTTCTTTTTATTTACTTTTTTTTTTTTTTTCTTTTTTTTTTTCTTTTTTTTTTTTTTTTTTTTTTAATTTGTGGTTTATGTTTGCAGGTTGTGGTGTAGGCGTTTGGACTGTAGTAGGACTAAAGCCGCGTGTATGTTGTTGTGTAGTGTGTGGCTTACTGCATGATGGCTGCTACTGCTGCCTGGGAGGGAACTGGCCGCCCTCCCACGGATGAGCTCCAGACTCCCCCTGGTCGCTCAGCTCAGCCTCCCCAGGGAGCTTCTGCTGGCACCACTCCCACGTTGTTGCATGATTCTGCACAAAGCACTGCCAAGGATTCACCTGCTACCGGCAAAAAGGACGTTCGTTCCACTGTGAGAGTAACCGTGAATTTACCCGTCTCTACACCCACAGGCACCAAGCTGGCTGTGACCACAAGATCTGAGTCACCTGCGGGGGGTGAAGGTCTCAAGGTGGAGCCTAAGAATCTGGACCAAGAGAAAGAGATTGCCCTCAGTCAGCTGCAGGAGTTGGAGGAGGCCATTAAAGTGCGCAAGGTGTCCAAGGTAGACGGGCGAAAGATACGCTGGATTGAGTACCGTGCACGCAAGAAGCAGGAGGAGCAAGAGAAAGCGGCTGAAGCCAAAAAGAAGGGCCGCAGATCGAAAGGTGTTGAGAACAGTGAAAATGACTCGAGCATTGTAAATAACAACAACAACAACAAAAGTGAGAGCAACATGAAAGTCGAGGTAGTGTCTCCGCCACTGAGTGTGGTAGGGAGAAGCAATGTTTTGGAAAGCATGAAAACAGCAATTCTTACAGGGTACAGAAAATGTTGGTGAACCCATTGCTAATGGTAAAACTGACAATCAAACTGAAACCGCAGAAACAAATCAGAAAAGAAAATCTGGGCGGACTAGGAAATCTGTTAATACACAAAAAGGTTCAAGTCCAAAAGGAAACACCCCGAAGAACACAACACCAAAAGGCTCGACGCTAAAGGAGTCGAACGGTAAGGGTGTAAACCGTAGAAGTGCCACACCAAAAGGGGTAGCATCTAAAGGGGGACAAAAGGGAACGGTAAATACTCCAGACAGTTCAGCGACAAATAGTCCAGTTCTTGTTAATACACCAGCCGCAACTAGTCCACCAGCAACACCGATCACCCAGACCAACCACTGTCTGCCAGTCTCAAAAAACCTTTCTTCCCAGTAAGGTCTCTCACAAAAGGACTGCGGGAAGTTAGGAAAGTGGAGAATGGCGAAAGTCCAAAGAAAGCAGATGACCGTACACCTATTCCTGCTTCATCCCCCATCACACCGGTGTCAATTCCCACTTCAACACCTGTTTTATCTCAGCCAAAGACAGAACCAGGAACCAAATGTCCTCTCATAGCAGTAGCTGCGAGATTGCTTTCCCCTCCTTCGGCTAGGTCAAAGTCCTTAGACAACGCAAGAAGCAGGAAAGCAAACACAAGAGGTGGAGCCAAGAAGCCTAGTGGCAAAGCTGCAGAGAGGTCAGAGTCTGAACCAAGAAGTATTATGAATGGACATACCCTTGTGCAGAACGGACCATCTGAAGAGGAAGAATCCATATCTTTCAACGTATCCTCATCAGATGCTGAAGACAAGTGTGCAGAAGTAATAGAGGAAAAGACAGAAACAAATGTAGAACTTCAGTCATATCAAAATACAGAGGTTACAGTTGATGAAAAAGCAACGGACGAGAACTTGGATGTGTCGGTAAAAGAGGAAGAAATTGAACCCAAATCTGCAGATAGCACAGTAGATGGTGAATTGCCAGATCTTGATAATTCATATGAATCAGATACTCCAAACAGAAGAGGTAGAGGACGCCCACCCAAGAGAAAATATGGGTCTGTTAAAAGTGTGCGGAAAGTGGTAGTTCTACAGGAAAGTCTAGTAAAAAATTATCAACTGTGGTTGTAGATGTCCATAATAGCATGAATGGTGAGCCACAGACTGTAGTTTCTGCATCCAAGCCTGCTCTACGTGGAAAGAAGACTTCGCCTGCAAAGAAAATTGAAAAAGGGAACAGTTCTTCCAGGGGGCACAGATAATGAAGATACCAAAGATTCATCCCCAGCAAGTAAAATCCAAGCAAGATTATCAGATGACAGTACAGAGGGCAGTAGTCAAGCGAAAGATCTTGCACCTACTCCTTCTGTCACTGATGCCAAAAAGTCAAAATCCAGTGCAGGGAAAAAGCAGACTGTCTCGATTGTAGGAGAGGAAAAGGAAGATGATAACACAAGTGCCTCTATGAGCAATCAAACACCACAATTGCAAGAAAGCATTCAAAGTACAAAGTTGGTGAAAGGTGTTCAAAAAGTCATAAATCAAGAAGTGCCCTCAGAAGCTGAATCTGCGACTGCTACTGCTTCTAACAATGACTCAAAATCAGCAAGTAGTGTGAAGGAAAGTGGGAACATAGTTGAAGTTCATACCAAAAGGGAAAATGATACGGGAGATGTAGCTGATGGACAAAAGGAAAAGGAGGGGCTAGGGGTCTCGGAATCAGAAAATTTGACTGAGAAGGAAAGCTGCAAAAACAAGAGTGAAATTCCAGTTGAGAAAGCTAAGAAAGTTTCAAAGACACAAATGAAAAAGGGAGGCTCAGTCCCAAAACTAGTGTTCAGGGATCAGGTCTTCAAGTTGGGGTAGAAAGAGAAAACACAAATAAAACTCCAGTGCCTGTTGGGAAGAGTAAAAAGGCATCAAAAACACAAACAAAGAAGAGTAGTGCAGGGGCAAAGGGAAGTAACTCCAAAAGCAAGTGGGAAGAGTAGTCCTGCAAAGAAGAAAGTGGCAGGTCCATCAAAGAAGGCAAAGTCTCCCAAAAACACCCAGACGCCACATGCAAAGCCTCCTGAGCTAAACGCTGCCAAGAAACAAAAGGCTGTGGAGGAAGTCGAAACACTACATATTGAGCCAAATGAATCACCAACGTTGAAAGGAAAGCAGAGGATGAAGCTGAAATAAAACGGCAAGAGGTAGCTGAGGAAGAAAGTGCAGTTAATGTAGATATAAAGGAATGCAAGGAAGCAGTAGAAGAGAACGTGTGCAAAATGTGATAGAAGAGAAACCTGCTGAGTTACAGGTAGTTGAAGAATCACAAGTAAATAAAGAGATAGAACAAGTAAATAAAGAGACAGAACAAGTAAATAAAGAGACAGAACAGGAACATAAAGAGACAGAACAGGTACATAAAGAGACAGAACAGGTACATAAAGAGACAGAACAGTTACATATAGAGACAGAACAAGTACAGAAAGAAACGGTACAAGTAAATAAAGAGACAGAACAAGATGTTCATGTAGTTGAAGAAGATAAAAACAAGAAGGTCATAGAAGATGTTAAACTTTTAGAGGATGAACCACCTGCAGAAGCTCAAAAGGAGGAGCAGCTTACCCTACAGGATGATGTTGAAATAAAGAGAGAGAATTTACTGAAGGAAAATAACAACTTGCCAGAAAAGCAGCCAGAATCTGAAGTACAAATTATGTCAGATGTCCAGGAGAATTTAAGTATTGTGAAAGTGGCGGAGGACAAAGAAGAGAATGACGCCAGCAAAGAGGAAAGTATTCCAGAGAATCCTGAGTTGGTGGTGGTTAATCAAGAAGAAAACATATCTGTTGAACAAACCCAAGAGTGTAGTATTATACCAAAGCAAAACGGAAGTATTGCATCTCAAGATGTAGTAGGAGTAAGTCCTTCAACTACCTCGATATCACCAGAAACTAGTGCCTCAAATGCAAAGTCAAAGGAGAAAGTACCCAGGATATTGAAACAGCTTCTTCAGGATGAAGGAGTCCAAAATATGCTTAAGAGTATGGGCGAAGAATCAATTACAGCACCAGAGGGATCACCGAGTGAGTCCAGCGTGCATAAGCTTCGTCCAAAAAGGCCATCAGAACCCATGCTGTCTTCCTCGCCAGAATTAGATGTTTTAGAGGCCTTCTTTTCTCCTACAACAAAGAAAAAGAAGCAGAGAAGTGAGCTGGACACTTTGTATATGGATGAAGGTGTCCTGAACCTATTAACAAGTCTAGAACCTTATTCCCGAAGACAGCCTCATCAAGATGATGCTGCCAGTGATATTTCCCAAGCCAGTAGCGCCAAGAGTGTAAAAGGAAGCAAGTCCTCTAAAGCTGCCTTAGATGTGCAGGCTGATGGGAGGAAGAGAAAACTTAGTGGAGCCAGCACTGTAAGCAATACCTCAACTAGATCTATGCAACCTCCAGAGTCTAAGAAACCACGTTTAGATAACCAGGAATCCCCCTTGGAGACCCTTATGAACTAGACACAGCAGAAGAATTCAAGGACCTGTCTGAGAATCAGGAAACTAGCAATGTTGAACCAGTTCCTGCTCAGCCAGTAAGAAAGAGGGGAAGACCAACACTGCCACTATCTGTGAAACAAAAGAACAAAGCAATAAGAATGCAACTGAAACTCCAAAAACAGAAGCAGATGAAGGTGAATTCTGTTGTCAGCGCTCTACTTAGGGAGGATGATAATATGAACCTGGCACAGATTAAGGATGTGCTAAAGAGGGCCAGAGAAGCCATCAGCTCCCCATTAGAAGAAGAAATGGAGGAGGAAACACCCACCGGCAAGGCAGTTCCACCCATAAAGATTAAATTAGCTTCCGAAAGTGTAACCATTAGGCATATAAATCGACCAGGACCAGTTCAGGGTCAGCAGACAGCAGCAGCACCATTGGGAGGTGCTGTGGATGTACAGGGAATTAAACCAACACCTAAACCAATGGCAGTTGATGCATCTTGTAGTAGACCCTTAGCTAAAACTGTGACAGAGACTAGGATATCGCCAAAGACTTATACAGAGAAGACGAGGACTTATCCAGAACGAAGGACACCCCCTCCACAACAAAGAAGAATAGAGAACATCACCAGTCCTACAGCAGCAAGTAAGTACTAATTTTGTGTTTGTCTTTTAGATTCTTAGATATATGGGTGGGTATTTTCATGTAAGAATTGACTTCAGATAGTATTTTGTTAAATCCAAGTTGATAATCTCTTGATGATAAAAATATAATGGGTTAGGAGCAGAGGATGGATTTATAGTTTAGGGTATATGGAGATAGTTAATTAGGGATCTTTATTACTCTCTTCACAAGTTTGGGTCTAGGTTTTGTATATATTTCCCTTACACAATTTGATTTTAACCTGTGGATCATTTTTTACTTGCCCAAAAAGTCAAACAAGAATGAATGCCATTACTATTGATCCAAGTCAGTGGTTTCCAACTTTTTTTTTTTTTTTTCTTCTTTTTTTTTCTTTATTTTTTTCTTTTCTTGTAATCCCTCTTAGAGACATATCTGCAACCCCTAGGAGGTTTATGTTTTTTCTATCAACATTTTAGGCAGAGAGTGTGTGTGTGTGTGTGTGTGTGTGTGTGTGTGTGTGTGTGTGTGTGTGTCTGTGTCTGTGTGTGTGTGTGCTGTGTCTGTGTGTCTGTGTGTCTGTGTGTGTGTGCACGCGCGTGTGTGCGTGTGTGAGAAAGAGAGAGAGAGTGTGTGA